TATTTATTAATTTTATGTTACATCAATCTTATGTAATTATATAACCATCTAGTTATTTTAACTTATGATTACTAATGTTGGTTATATTCAATTAATATATTTAATATGACTTCTCTAACTGCTGGGTGTAATGTTCTACATACACATGAGATCAAACTTGTTAACTATGTAATTCAAATCTTCAACTGTCCACTTGATTTCTCAATTATTTCTTTCTCAATTACACTTCTCAGTTAGAGAAGTATATTAAAATCTCTGTGATGATGGGTTTGTTTTTCTTACCCTCATCAATTCTTGCTTCATATATTTTTACGTTGTGTTAGCCTCAGTGCTTGTGTATTTAAATTGGTACACGTCATTCATGGGTATGCTACTTAGCAGCTGTACTTAATAAAATGGTACTTCTATCAAGACTCTCCTCAAAGGCGGAAACCACAACTTCCAATAGTACTTTGAGGCCCTCTAATTCACAGCATCCATGCCTGAAGAGAATAGGACTCTCGCTCTCTTTCCTTTAGTCAGCTGGCTCTCTCAGTAGAAAATTAAGAACAAAAGAAGTACACTCTTAGTCCCTACCTGGTTTCAAGTGGTGGCCTAAGTGGGAAGGCCAGGCAGTCATTTGGAATGCTGAGTGAAAGGATTTGCCCTGTTGGAACAGCTGCATGCAGACCCCGAGTTCCCTTCCAGAATCCTTCAAAACAAAAGAGCTCACTGAGATTCTGCCACCCACTCGGCCATTGTCCACCTCTGGGGTTTTGGGAGGTGTTACTGACTCTCAGGTAGAATCAGGTCTTGGCCATTGAGGGTTGTTGCGTCTTCATGCTAACGATCTAGGTGCTAGCAAAGAAGTCAGATGAGCGGTGACCAGATGGTTTCACTTCCCATCGTGTTAGAGAAGTTTGGGCTTGGTCTTCATACTAGGAAGAAAGGCACCTGGCTGGGGGCAGTGAGCACCTCTCAAGAACTTGCCAACTCTGATAGAGCTACAGGTTCTCAGGAGCAAAGGAACAGGGAAGGGCTGGGGATTTAGCTCAGCGGCACAGCGCCTGCCTGGCAAGTGCAAGGTTGTGAGTTCGGTTCCCGGTACTGGAAAAAAAAAAAACAAAAAAAAAAACCCAAACCAACCAAAGGAACAGGGAGAGAGAAGCTTCTACCCAGGGAGAGAAGGCAATGGGATAATCATAGAGAATGAAGAGATGGTCCAGCCACTGACTTCTGCTCTTGGTCAAGCGCCTCTGTTAAGGAGATTGACCATTAACCAGATTGGGTTCCCCATCATTCCCCAAAGATTACCAGAGTCCCCCAAATGCTGTAGGCCCTCTCATAGAAAGGTACCAGACACTGCCTTATCCATAAACTCTGGATAGCAGGCACCAGAAAACCAGACTCAGGCGACCGTCATCATGTTCTCCAAAGAGCTGAAAAGTAAATGCTTGCACAGATGCATGTGCTTTCAACAAAGAGCAGGACAGGCAATTCCCAAGCACCAACATGAGGTGGGTCAACCAAACTAAGGCAACCAAAGCATCTCACTTGCTTCTCATCAAAGCAGCTCATTTTCTTCTGTGGTGAGAGCTCATATTGTGTGCATTGAGAGCATTTTCAAACACTTCCATGTGTTGGCCATGATGCCAGAGAATTCCACCATCTCACTTATTTTTACAGCTTCCTTGTGAGGAAGGTGTTGTCCCATTTGTCACACAAAGAGACTAGAGTTGGCACTTGCTAAAAGCCATACCACTCAGAGAGGCAGGATTTGCACACAGATCTGTTTGAATACAGGACCTGGATAATTTCACTACATCATGGTCATTCTTAAGCGTAATTAAAAAAAAAAAAAGGAGGGGGTGGCATATGGTAAGCCTGACGTAGACTTAAGTAGAGGTATGTGAAAGTGAGGAAAAGCAAGTCTGCCCCATGGGAGCAGGATTAGACGTTCGGCTCATAGAGATGTGGTAGCACCCATGCATGAAGACTCAGAGGAAGCAGATTCCAACTTAGTAAGAAAGGGGTCACAGAACTGCTCAGAACAGAAGGCGCCAAAGGCCCTTTACTGGGGTCCTGTTTAACTAAATTATGCATATTAATACACCAGCACCTAAACATTGTAATCAAAAATTTAGGTAGATGGGGCTGGGGATTTAGCTCAGCGGCAAAAGCACCTGCCTGGCAAGCGCAAGGTCGTGAGTTCAGTTCCCGGTACCGGAGAAAAACCAAAAAAAAAAAAAAAACATTTAGGTAGATGGAGAAATTTTCAGTATAAAAAAGAGGATAAGCCATTATAAGTACATGACTTGATCTCCAGTGTAGACATATCCATGGAGAACAGAAAGTAGATTAGGACTTGCCCGGAGTCGGGAGGGTGGGGAGTGACTGCTGATGAGTAGGTCTGCAGGTGCACACGCAGTACTGAGGCTTGAGCCCAGCGCCTCCGCAGGCTGGGCAAGTGCTCTGCCCCAGAGCTACACCCCAGTCCCTGGGTTTCTTTTTAGGGTGATGAAAATGTGCTAAACTAGGGGCTATGGGTACAGCTCACAGTGGAACACTTGTCTAGCATGGGTTTGATCCTCATTGAGCTATATACTTTCAAAGGGTGAATTTTATGGTGCATGAAATATATATATATAATGTAAGTAAAAATATTATAATACAGAATATATATAATATATATCTGTATGCTAAAGAATATCAACCATATTTTTTAAAAAATATACATAAAGACACCAATGTTGTAAACTATCTCTGCCGTCTGTATGGTAAGAAAAAATTCTAGAAGGATCTAAAAAATAACTGTAGTTTTCAAGGTAGTGGGTGATCTGATATCACAAATTTTCTATGACAAACACCATTTTTTTTTTTTGTTTTGTTTTTTTTGTTTTTTGTTTTTTTGGTTTTTCTCCGGTACCGGGAACCGAACTCACGACCTTGCGCTTGCCAGGCAGGCGCAAACACCATTTTGAATAAAATCAGAAAATACTTTTGTAACAATGAGTAGGTTGCCTAAGTTGAGCTTATCATTGGAAATATTCCAAAAAGCTTGAGAATCATCAGTTACAGATGCTTGTCTTGAGAGTAAGTTGGACCTACAATTATGGCTTAGTCCTTTTAATTATTATTTTATAATTACTTTACCTATTGTCCTTGTGGTTTTTCCTGGGGATCAAGCTCAGGACCTCACGTATGCTAAGCATATCCTCTACCACTAGGCTACACTCCCTTTTTTCCTTTTTAAAAAATTTAAACAAATGTATTTCAACACTATTCTGAGGCAGCGGGGGGGAGCAGTCTGCCTTTTATTATATAATTCAGTAACTAAAAAAAAAATTACAACTAAAGGGGTGTAGTAAGACTCAAAAAGAGGGGTGAGGGAACCAATTTAAAAAGCAGATTCTATATGCTTCTAGGCAGCCAGGATGAAAATATTATGTTGTAACAAAATGTTCAAGAAATTCCTACCAGAGAAGACTCCAGATCTCCCTTTTGGTCTTTGTAAAAACAAAGATGTGACATTTGAAATATTATCTGAATGTGTCAATTCAGACTCATTCTGAAGGTTGCTGACACACAGACAGAACATAAATAATCCTTAGAAGAGCAACTGCACCTTTTTAAAACCCAAGTTCAGGGATGTCACAAGATGGGTAGGTGGCCAGGCCTAGCGGGCTGTGTCAGCTTTGGCGCAGGACTCCGCAGCATGAGCTGGCTCCTCCCACTCTCTGGCAGAGGGCGGTGGACAGTGGGAGAGGAGAAGCATCAGGCTATAAAAAGCTTTATGTTTTATTTCCTTCTAAGGCATCCTGAGTCACTGGGTGCTCCACACCCCCGACACACACCCCATGCCCGCAAAGTTCAGCTCCAATCGGAAATGTGTGTAAGCGGTTTTTCTCTAAACCAAAGCTGCTGACAAACCAGACGATGCTGTCACTTGAACTGAACCTCTTACAGATCCAGTGGTAGCTTCCTGCTTCTGTTCTGGGAGAAGGGAAGTCACTTACGATGGTTTTCTGACCCAGGTTCTAATGTTACATCAGTCTTAAATTAACCCCAAGCTTAATCCCTAGTCCACCCCAACATTGGAGCTGCTGAGTCTTAAAGCCTGTCATTTCAAAGGACACAAAACACCTACACAATTTTACCTCCTACCTTTTAGTTTTGATCATTTTAAACATCAAGTGATGCCAAACCAGGTTGATCGGAATCTTAGAAAGCTGGAGGCAAAAGGTACCAGTCTAACAATCTTTCTTGACAATGGAGAAAGCTGAGGACCAGGGATGGTAAGCAACCTGCCTGAGACTAGAGGCACAGAACCAAAACCTGAAGCCAGCCCTATGTTCTCCTGGCAAAGGGCTCTGTCCCCGGGGCAGTCCTTCCTTGCAATCCCAGCTCCTGCACACAGGAGGGGCTGTCTAAATGCTCCCAGGAGGCCCAGCACACGCCTTCTAGACAAACCAGGACCTTACCCTGTGATCTTTCCTATCTTCTCAGCCCTCATTCCTACTGTGCAGAATGGGAAAGGAACTAGGTAAAGTAGCTGGATAAGAGCCTTCCAGACTCAGAGAGGGCCTAGAACCAGGGTCTAGGAAGGTGCGAGGTTTCCACTTCGCACACCAACGGGATCTACATGCCCCTCCACCTTTCTCAGCTGACTCCTGACAGGGTCCAGGTGCTTCCTTCATTTAAAATCCCCACCTTATTTAAGGAATGTATTTTCCTAACAATCCCAAGAGATCTGGATTAACATTAAAATCAAAGGGTTCTTAATCTGTGGTGTGTATCTTCTACATAAGGCAAGCACGGATAAGGCATGACTTGGTTAAATTATCATCCCAACTCCTTAAACCAGTGTAACTTGCGCTAGACGTGTCTCTGTCCTCTTGCTTTGTCCCGCTGACCTGCTGTCCTGGAGCCCCGGTGGAATTCCATCTGAGGGCATGTGTATTTTGTTCCGAGAGCACAAGTGAGCGAAGGCTATGCAAGCTAAGAACCTACACAATTCGCAGTTAGAGATGAAAGGCTGCAGAAATGTTTATTGAATACAGTGCCAGGTTTATAAATAAAACTTATTTACAATTTCCATAGAGTTGGTCCCCCATCAGAGAGGTGGTTAACAGTTCATCTCAAGATTTACAGAAACGTTCAAGTACATCTCCTTTTCAAATAGCCATGTTGAAGGGCAACTTCAGTAACGAAAGAACCACCACCATCTTTGCTACAGAAGTGTTTAATGAACATTATAATAGATTTGGAGAAAGAACACACACTCCACCCATGCCACTACCTTCCCACTCCCAGGAATAGACAGCAAAGAATCTGTCTCCTATAGGACAACTTCAAGGGATTAAAAAAAAAATAGTTAACTGCCAGCTGAAGGGATTAAGACACATTAGTGGAGATCTAGTCACTGCCAAAAGGATAAATATATTTAGGATATACAATAAATAATCCAAATGGTTAAAATAATTGAATGAAGAGTAGACTTGACCAAATTTACATTCTTTGTTCAGGAAGCAGTTCCCAGGATGCTGAGGGGCCAATAATATGCTATTCCTCTGATGTGACAGCAGCGCTAGGCCTACTGGAGAGCCATTCATTACAATATTGTTACAAGTACAGTCGGACATGCATTTATAAAGAGAATATAAAAATATGTACAATAGCTCATCTTCAATGTGTTCAAATTGCCGAAAGACACCAATTAAAGTGTGCAAAAATTTGTTTGTCAAAAAATCAGAAAAAGCCTTCCCTGGCAACAGTGCATCAAAAGCCCATCTGAGTATCGAGATCCATTTGCCTTGCTCAACACCTACCCCGAACAGATGGAGAACGAAACTATGAAAAGGTTTGCCAAGTACTCAGCAGTTTCTTATGGCAAGTCTCAGGCTAAAGCAGGATGCCAGTTAAACTAGTCACTTTTATATATATAAATATATGTATATATTTATAGAGTAGTTAGAAGTAGGGGCAAGTTTACAGGAAGGTGCCATGACACCAAGCTCTTTCCTCTCCCTAACTCACAGACTGCTACCGCCCAACCCCTGGGCTGGTCGTGCCCCCACGTGCCAGGAGAAAGGCGCCAGGAGACACTACCCCACCTCTGCTCCCAACTGGAACTCAGCATTCCCTGGTTTCCACACAGGATCCTGTTCCAAAGGTCGTCTTTCAGGATACACTGTGGGACTATTAAAATGGAGTCCACCCAGCTTCCAGAAAGACTTGGTAAAAGGGTAAGATAGAAGGGAAGTCTTTAAAAACAAGTCACCCCCCATCCCCCTTGAAACTACCAAGAGGTCATTCATTGACCACAGGCCTGCGACCGGGCCAACTGGGCTACCTGACCCCCTACGAGAAACACCCAGGTCATAGACTTGCACAGGAGCCCTCAGAGCTCCCCATCTCACCAGAACAGAAACACTAAGGGATTCTTAGGTGTTCCTCACAGATTCAGAGAATTATGAACGCCAACCTTACTTCATGGGGTCAACCTCTCCTCTACCAACCACGCAGTCCAAGGACTGGTAGCACGGTGGCAATGTGTCCTCTCCACGGCTCTAACCCACCCCTCTGGCAGAAAATCTAACAAGCTACAAAATGCCAGAAAGACAGGGAGTAGGAGAGGGAGGAGAAGCCAAGGGTCTCTATAAATCAGCCCCGAATGCACCCACTTGGCTGCCAAGAGCTCATCACTGCCCGCTAGCAGCCTGCCACCATCCCCTGGCAAATTAAAACCACCCACACAAACACACAGAACTCAAATCTCCTTGCTAAGAAGATACAACCAGTTAACACCCTGAAAAATGCACATCCAGCCTTCATTTCAAAAGAGCCCTGCACTAAATGCAGGATGCTTGTAAGGGGGCTTTTTCAATGGACCAATCCCACTGCAAAGACCAGTACCAGCATGTCTGGGTTTTGGTTACAGGTTTATAATTAGACACGAAACTCACTCTGGGTCGGAGTTTTACTTTCCAGCCAGAGGCTTAGCATTAGTTCTACTTGAGGGGGGGAGGGGGAAAAACCAAAGTCAAGTCAACTTTAAACCAAAACAGAAGAAAGGAAAACGAAGCTAAGGTAATAATCATAAATTAAACTGCAAATAAAGGGGGCTGATAGTGTCTTTTAGGCATGAAGAGACTGGCTTAGTTAGAAAAGGACTACTGCTTCTACCACACACGGCGAGGATTGAATTACAGACACACTAAATCATGTCTCTTGCACAGATGGTCTCAAGTAGTTACATGAAACAGGTAATCAGCAGCACAATTGAGAAGAACCCCTAAATACATGCTTGAGAAAGTGGTTTTTTCCTTCAGTAAGAGCTCTACCGCCTCAATAGATCAGTAAGTTACCGTGACTTGCCTCCCCCCTCCCCCCAGAGAAAACACAACTAGACTTACGTGTCGATTAAGTGTGGTAAAGCGACCAATACGTGCCTGCTTTGAGGCAGGGTCTTAGGCTCAGAGGTTGGTGCTGGGATCTTGGGAGGGAGGGAAACCCATCACTAGGCTGTGGGCATTTAAATGTGCACTGGCCTCCCCTCCAAGTGCCTTGTCCCCTTTTAGATCTCAGCTTTACAAAGCATTTAACACCATTTTAAGTTAATGGTCTTTTTATTGGAAAAAAAAAAAAAAAAAAAAGACTAGCATTTACAACTTGGAATGGACGTAAATTGTAATTTCTTGAACAGCAATGTTGACGGGTGTGCTGAAGTCCACAGCCACAGCCTACTCTGCCGGCTCCAAGTCATGGTTCAGGAGGTTTTAAAAACAGAGTCCAAAGATGCTCCCTTGTAAAAGATTTCTTATTAAAAATTTGTGAGTGTGACAGCCTGACACCCATTTCACCTTAGTACAATGCAGACATTGCTAAACCCCCATTCGGAGGCCTGCCACCACTGTGTGTCACTGTCACCATGGGCCGGAGCACAGGGAAGTACAAGAGGATCGGCCTACCACTGGGGCTGCATCTCGACAGTTTATCCTCCACCCATTTTCTGCACATCGTCCTGAGGTAAACCCATTTTAAATGTGTTTGTTTTCAGTAAACCAGCCATGACTATTTGTACTAACTAATTAAACTTGAACCCATCTGAATAGGTTTTGAATTCGTTTTTTCGTTTTTCGATTTTAATACAAATGCTTGACTGTGCTCAATCGTCAAGCTGCATGCATGAAAAACTGGCCAGCCCAAACAGTGTATTAATCATTAGCAAATGGAACTTTAAGGAGTCCACTAAGTGCTTCCTTATCATTAAGGTAGTACAATTATTTATATTGTAAAACTGATGTGTAGCTTGATCTTTAGGGGACAGGACCACCAACCAATACATGCAGATTTTGTGTGTGGACAGAAGGTACTTTTTAACATTCAGTTTTGCTATATAGAAACAGAATGAATAAATGAACTTTTTTCTTTTTTTTTGCAAGAGGTAAGTAAAAGATTCAATTTGATTCTTCTAGAGGGGGGAAAAAGTAGCTGAAAGTAGGTCTTCATTTTGCAGTCATCATCTGTACGAATTCTGAAAAGACAAGTGAAACTTCTGGTTATCTTCAAAAGCAGCTTTCATGAACACGGTAACTCTATTCTGCACACAAGTAAGCCAGTGAACGTCTAGTGAAACAGTTCACTTGTTGACAGACTATTAACAACTTTTTAAAGAAATTAACAACTTTTAAAAGAAATTTAACGTTTCACCTTCATAGTTGACTTGTCCATCTCCATCAATATCTGCTTCTCTGATCATTTCATCTACTTCTTCATCTGTTAGTTTTTCTCCTAAGTTTGTCATGACGTGACGTAGTTCCGCTGCACTGATGTAACCATTTCCATCCTGTAAACATTCGGCAATTGTTACCGGTGCTGGGGGCAGTGGTTCGGTGTGAGCAGGTAGGTCCTCCACCCCAAGTTACTGCCAAATGTGCTCCCATCGGTACTCTACCTCCAGTCCCCATCTCTACTGACTGAGGACATGCAGTCACAGTCCATGAATGCAGAAAAGCAGAGATTTTCAAAAGCTAAAAGATACTGACATGTTTCTCATTTACTACTCTCTTTAAAATAAAATAAAAAAATTTTTAAAAAAAAGAAAAAAGAAAAAAAAGATACTGACAGTAACAATCAAGAAACCGTGTTCAGCTGGGCGTGGAGGCGCACACCTGTAATCCCAGCACTGGGAGGCTCAGGCAGCAGGATCGGTGTGAGTTCAAGGCTAGCCTGGGCTACAAAGTGAGCTCAAGGCCAGCCTAAACTGCATAGTGAGACTGTCTCAAAAAGACCAAAAAAAAAAAAAAAGTGTTCAAACTTCCTATTATGCCTATCTTCACACTAAATAAGGTTACCGAAGTGTGTATTTGGGAGTGAAATCAAAGGCTCGGGCGGTGAGGTTATGTTTTACCGCTAACCAACTGTTCAGCTCTTAGAACTAATAGTCAAAAAAGCTGTGCTTGTGCACCCTCTGCAACACAGATACAGGATTACCTTGTCAAAGACTCGGAATGCCTCACGGATTTCTTCTTCGCTATCTGTATCTTTCATTTTTCTAGCCATCATAGTTAAAAATTCTGGGAAGTCAATGGTGCCATTACCTTGAAATTAAAAACAGAAACACATGTAAGATAAGCACTGAATGAATGCTGCTCTGTAGTAATAAACTTGGAACAACTATATTAAGCACTTGCTAGGACAAAGTGACATTATTTTATTAGTCAATCTTTTGTAGGCCTATAAATCAAACACTTCACAAGGCAAATTTCATGTGATTCAAACTCATCAATGCCTGGGCTGGTATTTAAAGATGCAAAGAAAGCTGCATGCCTGGATTCTTAACTACCAAAGAGGCTGGACAGTTCAAGAACTGTACTCCTAAGAGAAACACTCTCTATTGTCTATCCTCGATCTCCCAAGCTAAGGAGGTCACTTGGGTCTACCTCTACCTTGGCTGTTACACCAGTGATATATAAACTGAAAACCAGAAAAACTGACCATCAGGCCATAGGCTGTATGTAGTCTTAGAAAGTCTTCTTGGGGGCTAGGGATATAGGTCAGTGGCAGTCAATTTGCCTAGCATGTACGGGGCCTGGTGTTCAATCCCCAGTACCCACCCCCCCACCCACACAGGATGGGAGAGAGATCAAGAAAGACATCAAGATCTTCCCTAAGTGATTTTTCAGCTCTATTGTAAGTTACCTAATAGTTTTTTTCTTCCCAACTCATTTTTGTTGTTTCTTTGGGATTTTTGGTGCTGAAAATTGAATCAAGGGCCCCTTCCATGCTAACAATGTGCTTTACCACTTACCAAAATCCACAGACCCCAACTCACTATCTTTACTTCCCCGTTACAAGAAAAGTTCAGAAGCATTTTCACAGCTCAGACTATTAAAATTTAGGAGTTAGTGTCAGAAGAATCCACTCTACGGTAAGTATTCCAAATTTCTCTAAGACTAAGAAATGAATACCCACAAAGACAAGCTTCAAGGTTAACATAAAAGTAAAATAAGATCTGAGAAAGTCCTTTGGTTTTTAAGCAAAGTAACTCTGGGCTGAGGATGTGGGCCAGTGGTACCACAGTTGCCTAGCCACGTATAGGGCTGAGACTTGATCCTCAGCACCTCAAAAACAGGGGAAAAAATTCAGAGATCCTTTTGTCTCTTTGGCCTCCCAAATTTCAAAGCACTACTGATATTCAGAAAGACAAGTTAAATTATTTGAAGTGCTATCCTACAACGATGCAAAGATGTCCTTAAGCACCGTCATATTTATGCAATGGGAATTCAAGACTCTGCAGCTTGGCATATCCCCCGTCCTTCCCTGTAATGTGAGGGCCAAATTCAGTTATTCCACCCACAAGCCCAGCTTCCCCTGGCTTACACAAAACCGAGGGAGCCACCCCTTGTTCCCAGATGGCTGATCACCTCAGCAATCACACTACATGAAACTATGGACAATTTCTTTCGCAAAAACAGTGTTAAGCATGAAAACAACCTTTAAAAGTAATTCTAATAGGTGCAGAAAGCTTTGTCTAAGAGCTTAACCAAAAGTCCTACTTCTAAATGTTTATGACAACTGTAATCACAATATATCACTTACATTACCGTATTTTTCTAAATGGCTGCTATAAGGTCAATCATCTAGAGAAGGTCTAGATGCAAACTGTCCTACAATCCTATGTAGTACATTAGTACATACATACAATTTACAAAAATATGTAGATCACCAGGCATGGCAGCACATGTCTACAATCCCAGCACTCAAGAGGCTGAGACAAGAGGATCACAAGTCTGAGGACAGCCTGGGCTACATAGTGAGTCCAAGGCCAGCCTGAACTACATAGCAAGATCCTTTCACAAAAAAAAACAAAAACAAAACAAAACAAAAAAAAACATAGGTCCAGGGGTAGGAGCCTCAAAATCTATTTAATGACGGAAGTGAAAAAACCTCTGTTATCCACTGCTGTAGAATCCAGAGGAACAGATAATCAACTGCTACAGGGCAAGTGCTGCTTCCTTCTGGCTCGGCACTCCATACAGCTGCCCCTTCTCTTAGGTTCTGAAGACCTATTCCCTAGAGTCAGCATGTGCCTCCAAGTCTCGCAAGATCCTCTTCGGCAAACGTACCAAACAGCTCACGCTCTATTCAGTTCTATGTTAACTTCTGAGAGCACTCTTCACCCACTGCACTTGGGAGTTTTTCCTCTTAAGAGACAATAAGCTTTTTAAAAAAGTTTCTACAGCAATTTTTTTTTTTACTTCCCCACACAACTCAGGGCAGACTCATGGGCCAGCTGACAACAGCACTGAGCTGTAGGTCACGACAAGCAGAGAAGAACAATACAGCAATCTGATCCAGGAAATGCTCTAGACAGTAAGCAAGGGAATGACAGGCTCACAATCTTCTATTTTAATGTCAGTGGCCATAAGGTAGCCACAGAAAGGAACTCTGCACACTTGCTTTACTCTGGGGACCTGAAAGACAATCCTATAACACGTCTGAGTTTCAATTACATAACACTAGTGCTCATTCACAGTTCTAAAGCCCTTACCATCAGCATCCACTTCGTTGATCATATCCTGCAGTTCAGCTTCTGTTGGGTTTTGACCCAGTGACCTCATGACAGTTCCTAATTCCTTTGTTGTGATGGTGCCGTCACCATCTTTATCGAATAGAGAGAAAGCTTCCTTGAATTCTGCAAAACAAACGTGCACTCTTTAGAATCAATGTTTTTATCCAACTCACCCACAATTCTCATTCCCCAGGGTTTCCCCAAGCAAGCTGTTCAGGTTGTGCAAGTTATCAGAAACCACCTGTTCTTCATCAACCGAAATAAAGACCACAACAGTCCTGTTGGTCTGGCCTTCAAACCGCAGCCCATGCAGCAAACACGGCTCCTGGTAACCAGCTCGATTAAAACCCTATCTTTAGCTGGGCCTGTTGCTGGATGCCTGTAATCCCTCTGCTCTGGGAGGCTGAGGCGGGAGGACCACAAGTTTGAGTCTAGGATGGACAGTTTTGCTAAGAGCAAAACCTTGTCTTAAAAATAAATAAATAAATATATGTCTATATTTAAAGCAACGTATTTTTAAGAAGGCTAAGCTTCAACACGTTTAAACTCAATGCTACATCCAATCTGGCATGAGGAGATTGGTCCATGTGCACCTTTAAAGTCTCTTCCTGTTAAATTTCTACCCCCATAACACCAATGCACTTCGAAGTCACATGAAAAGGTTACCAGAAACGTACATTCCCAGGTAACCAGTATGTTCTGCACAACATCAGAATGTTTCAGAAGCATTCCTGGTTTCGTAAGGAGAAACCATCTCAAAACAAGCCTTCCAGGAAATATTAAAAGGCTAAACTCCAGTCGGGTTAAATGGCACACGCCTGTAATCCCAGCACTCCAGGGAGACTGAGAGTCAAGGAGATCACCTAAGTTTGAACCCAGTTTGGACAACTTAGCTAGACTCTCAAAAATAGAAAACTAACGTAACTCACTTCCCAGTTAATATCATATTCTTAAAATTCATTTTTACTCACTCCCATTTATTTAAAGCTTTCACAGTGGATCACTAAAAGCTGTGCAGCATAAGAACTGTAAATTCATTTTCTGGGGGGCTGGGGATTTAGCTCAGCGGCAAAGTGCCTGCCTGGCAAGTGCAAGGTCCTCAGTTCAATCCCTGGTACCGGAAGAAAAGACAAAAAACCAAAAAAAACCCAAACAAATAAATTCCTTTTCCAAGTAGCAGGCTCAGAGCAATCTCATTAAATGCAAAGCTGTACACATGGTGAGGAACAGACCAAGTGGACATTCTTAGTTCCACTTCCTTCCACATTATCTCTGAAAAATTGGGAGTAATACCTGGCCTACATGTTTCTGCTTATTGTTTCTATTTAAATAAATTCTTAGAAAACTGCTTAGATTGTAGGGAGGAAGAAACAGAGAAGTCGCCAAAATTGAGCCAGAGCCTAAGTCTGGGCCTTCTGGGGTCTTCCCAGAATCAACTTACCAGCAATCTGTTCTTCAGTCAGCTGGTCAGCCTACAGGAAGAAAGAAAAGGTTATAATTCAGTCCACGACAGTTTGGTTAATATCGTCCTTCCAATTAGACTTTTAATGCTGTAATCTTTCAGAATTCAATCTCCAGGCACAGTAATGGATGCCTGTAGTCCCAACCAGTCAAGAGGGTCACCTGAGCCCAGTTGTTCCAGACCAGCCTGGACAACATAACCAGCATCCATTAAAAAAAGAAAAAGGTAATCTTAAGAGACAATCCTTTTAAATCATTCGCACTGTCACTGAATGAAGGTGATTAGGATACAAGAGACCACGTGTGTTATTTTAACACCAAAGGAAGACAAGGAAACGACATATGCTTGCTCCAGGCATTTTCCTCTGGCCCACTGCTTGCAGCGGTGCTAGGGATGAGATCTGACTAGGGTCAGTTCATCATGTGAAGAATAGCACCTCTAGCGGCAAAAGGCCCCACAGCACTGGTTGCGGCGCGCCGAGGAAGAAGAGCGCCACCTATCGCACCACGGACATTGCAGTCCTGCTTCCATCTAAGGGACCCAGCCCAATGCTGCCGCGGCCACCGCAGCCAGGATCAGGATCCTGTCCAGGGACAGGCTTTTAGCGCACCTTGCGCATTGCTTCGGGCCCTCAAAATCCCCAAACTGTAGTTACATAATAGCATTGGGTTGGATTAACAGGCTTTTATATCCATTTTATGAGAAACAAGCGGAAAAAACAAGTATATTGCAATGAGCTACCCCCACTGGCTTCATTTCCCTGTAGTAAGTGCTTTGTAATCATTTAAATTAGGCAGTATTTGTTGAAAAACCTACCATTTACAACGGCTAAGGTCTTTGGTCAAATTATCTTATGATTCAGAAGCCAGGAAAAAAATGGGACCATCTCACAACCGTAGCGTTACAAAACTGCAAAAATTAAGTAAACAGAAAACTACACGATAATTATGAGACTGTATCCCTCTTTTAAGTGCAGTAACAATCAAATTTCCTGATACTTACCCTACCTTAAAAAAAGAGAAGTGCTTATAATACACAGTTTATTCGAAGTGACAACGGCCAACAAGGTAATTCTCTCTTCTATTTTTTTGGTTTCCTTCAACACTGAACCTGTGCCTCCAAGCTAGGGGAACTGAGATCTCAAGGAAAGCTAATATATACTTTTATTTTAATGAAGATCGTCTAATGAAGTCAGCTACAAAATTAAGTCCTGATGTTAAAAGTTTATTCACTTGAGTAGAAACTTCCACAGTAGGGATTGTTTCAGTATTATTTTTGAAATGGGGGCTTAGTTTTACAAGTTATTTTTTTCTACCCTAGTCACTGAAATCTAGTTTTTAAAAAATCAAACAAAAAGAGACCCGATGATTTATGTAATGTCGAGGCAATGTCTGTCTTGTTCAACAGGAAGCGCTGCCACACCTCACAGGAGAAATCGGCACCTTACTAGGGAGAACAGTCCCACCAACCCCCAAAAAAACCTTATGTTAGAGGGTTATTCCGAACATCCACCTTCCAGACAACGAAATCCCCTTCCTCTGATCACGCTGGACTTCACGGGGGAAAGGCCTCTTTCCAGAACCCTGCTGGTAACCACCACCCTACTCCACCAAGCCAGAAAATGTTGCCGGTGATGTCAGCCCTGCCAGCCGAGGGAGGAAGGGAGCCGTGGAAAACACACCCAGCGAGGCGCACAGGCGCATCTGGCAACCCAGAGACTGCAGAGAAAGCGGAAACGAGGAGGGCATCTCCCTTTGGGCTGGGAAATGGCACGGGGCAAGGGGCCGCCCAAGGGCGCGAGCTTGGGAGGGGGGTGGCGCCGCCCTTCCCCAGCCTGAGCGACCCCCACTCCCGCACCTCCCACCCACTTCTGCTCCCCCAGGCGGCGAACCCGCCGCGCCGCCGCCTCCTCCTCCTCCTCCCGAACAGAAACTTTGCGTCTCTAATGGAAACCGATCCGTGCGCCAGCTCCCTCCCCCCACCGCCCCAATTAGCGCGAGCGCAGCGCCTCCCGCGGGAAGGGGCCTGCCGGTGTCCCGGGCCTCGCACACCTCTGCCCCGGCGCGCGTGGG